AAACTGAATGCAATTAAGAGCGTGCCGTAAAAAAAAAATTCACATTTCATAATTGCATTGTATATCTTCAGAAATGTACAGAAAAGCATCATGGAAAAAGAAGTTTATCTATAAAAAATAGCGGAAATATTTTTACGTTTCTAGAGATGTATTTTTTTTAATAACTGTTTGTATCGTAAATTTTAAACTGTATCAATCCAGAACTGAAGTCCATATCTTCACGAACGAACGAGCAATTTTTCCAAGTCTGTTAACATTCAGCTGCAATAAGACACGCGATAAAACGCGAGGCATCTGAAAGCAAAATACGGTGTTTTTATTTCCTTTCGGAAAATAAAAATTATTAATAAAATATAAAACTTTCAAAACGGCGAAGTGATTCTTTCGTAAAAGGAAAAGTGCGAGATGTACACTTTTATCCCATAATATGCCGTTACTGTTTCGTGCACGAAAGTAATTTGGTTCAAGTTCAAGTGGCGCCGCTTTATATCTCGGGATAGGCTTAATAATAGACTCGTGTTTTTATCGGCTTCACGTTTCGTCAGCAAAACGAATGAATGAATGCATTGACCGCGCGTGTCGCGCGACGTACGTAAAGTTGAAATTCGCGGAATCGCACGCTCGTCGCTGAATAATCGAGAGCGCAGTTTACGCCGCGCTTTTTCGGGACGGGTTAGTCTATTATAGTGATTCATCGACGACGGTGGTGGAGGAAACGCCGCTCGTAACCATACGTCGTCGGCTTCGTAAGGATCGCAACATCCACGAAGAAAATCCAACCGGTTTATTTTTTCTCTTACCGATATAGGCGGTACTTCCTCTCGCCATAGGCGCTACGGAACGCACACAGTCAAAAGTCTGTGCTAGAAGCGTACACGGCGCTTTAAACAGGCGTTATCTATTTCCGGGGGGAAACTTTCAGACCGATCTCTTTCGCTCTTGCTTTAATTTTAATGAAAACATTAATCTATGCGCATTATATCTATTTCCACGTACATGTAGAATTCGTGTAAGGAAGTTTTTTTAAATTTAATTGTTAGAAGTCAAATTTATGAAGATTCAAAGCAAACCGCATTAAAGAGGCCAATAATTATTGTAATATATTAAAATATGCCGCTAATCTATGCGGAATATTCATCAGAGTCTCGAAAGCTTAGAAAACCAATTAATTAGACTGTTACAATTCAAACTGAAACGATTATAAATGATGATAGTTTCTTGCAATTGTAATTTCTCTTTTCGAAACTTGATATCACCTTAATACGTTTAACTGCAAGCTAAATAAATACAAATTGATTAATGAGTCTTCAACGTTTGCAATCACAGGTCCGGTTTCACCGACGTTGTTTAACTTTAAGCTTAATTCGTTCCTTGTCTCTTTCCAGCTGTCACTTCAGAAAAGAGACAAACGTGATTTAAACGAAGATTAAAGTTAAGCGACGTTCGGTGAAACCGGGCCATAAACGTTCCTCGCTCAGAGCGGCTCCCCGAGCCTGGAGCGTGACTTCGCTGAGAGCGTCAAAAATAGACAATATCCTTCTGTAAAATGCGCAAATCGACGTGATTAGATACGCGATGTATCCCTGCCGGTGTGTGTGTGTGTGTATGCGTGCAGCGCGAAGATTTATGCATACTCGTAATCACAAGTACGCGCGCACGCGTGAACGATAAAATAGGCGTGCGTGTGCGTGCGAACGATTACCGGCGATCGTGCGCTTACGATAAACACACACTTTAACGCGCGGAGGCTACGTGGGAATAATTACGGAGACGGAGAAGTAGTGTGCGGATGTGCGTGTGTGTATGTGTGTGTGTGTGCGCTGCGCGCTCACATACTGACAAATGAAACAAACAAATTCGCTCTGGCACGTATGCGCACGTGCTGGTGGAAATTTCCAGACTCTCGTGAATCCTCCCGCGTGCGATCTCACGCTCGGAAAAACGTCGGATTTTTTTTCTGCATACGTCATCGAGCGCGTAACTGATAATTAGTCGGGTATGCCGTCTCCGACGAGTGGGAGAAAGTTGCGATTTCTTGTCGTTTGTCGCATTGCTCGTCGTTTATTGGCGATAGACAGCTTCGTTGTGGCATGGACAGCAGAATCCGAGCAAGGTGATAAACTTGCGAGGAGCGGACAATACATCGATTATACGCTAACAATGTTCGCGACCGAGTCGATTGTTTGTAAAATGCTCTTCATATTGTAACCAATTTATTTCACGTACAGAACGAGAAAGTTTCTCAACTCGCAGCTAAGAACCGGAAGGCTAGGAATCTGGTTCTCTTTCACGGGGGGATAAACCTATAATAAAATGTAATAATACGCAGGGCCGGTTTAAAAGCTTAATGAGTATTGCGCTGCCGCTCGTTTTCGATTTTTCTGCAATATTTCGCTCCAAGTCCCGTTTTCATTGTCTTCTACATTAAAGTACAAAAGGGACAATTACTATCGTCGAAGTCGCTGATCTCTGATCCCTAATATAATAAAATATCGATAATCACGTCTGTATCGATTACGCGACATAAAGAGGAGTCGAAGCTCAGTTGATCTACGATAATACACTCTGATAATAGCCGCACGTTCTAAAATGTTAAATATTGCACGTAGCAAAGTGATCATTGCTCATAAATAAAACGAGGTGTGGGAAATATGTTATTCTATTATTAATGTCTACGATTAATGCAATTAAATGACGCAAAACTCTGCGCAGTTGTGCAATTTTAATAGATTTATTTATGAAGTGATCTTTAAGGTATTTATAAATCTTGGCGCTCTGACGTCGGCTCGCCTCGTTGATATGTTTGATCGGCTGTTTATCGCCAACGTGGTTTTTTTTTCTTGTACGCGTCACGTCTCGTTCAAGTGATTTTTTAAGCCAGGCTACATGTGATTGTTGTACTCTCGTACTTTACGTGACTTATCGTATCATCAGCCCGCAACATTGCGCAAATGTTGAAAAAGATCATTAACATATGAATACTCACTGCTTCTGATGGTCGCATAATAATACTCCGAGATTTTCCACGCGTACGATTGTCGCTCCAGCATTTACCTAGTTTCCAATTCGGGATGCGATTCCGCTGGAAAATTTCGTCCTTTAATTCTTAACGTACGTCGAGGCAGACTTTACGATGCTCTCGAGATACACGTCGTATTCGCGTTAATTCAAAGCGCTTCGGAAACGTGTAAAGTTGGCGCCACATAAATAATGCTTTCTTCTCCCCCCTTGAGATGTCTCGTGCGATGAATCAGTGCGACCTACTCGAACATGACTTCTAGGAGCGCTCGACAAGTAGTAGTCGCTCGACAATAATAGTAATTGCAGTCGCCAGAGAAGCTACACGTGATTCCGGGAAATAGGATGCACGAGGCGGTTCGTCGATGCCCCTTCGTGCGCATCAATCTTTGTGAAAGGCCGTATCGAATTAGCCAACGGCATAATGAATGAATCGCTCCACTGTGATATTCGTATTTCTCAGACACGCGTGTCTCGACGATTTATTCTTAATAGCGAAATATGTCGTATCAGAATCGAACCAGCTCTTTGGTAAAAACATTTCTTACCTAACCGTAAGCGATTTTCTCTCGCGTCCTTAATTTTTCCAAGCTAATGCGTGTAAAACGGACACAGTTTGGGACGTAACGCACTGCATACACGTTCGACGGCAATTTATAAATGTTTTTTGACTCAATCTGGTTTAAAAATAATGATATCAGCTCGAGTAAGGACTCAGTAAAGATTCCTGCAAAGGAACGATCACATTTCTTAACCGGAACAATAAAAACCTTTTACTTTGAATGGCTCGAAAGATTACAAATGACGTCTTATGTTCGCTTTTTCAGTTATCGTGATTTATCATTCGTTAAGAGATTTATCGTTCTATAAATCTAAGATTTACGGTTATCACCTTATCTTTATTTTCGCTGTCGAAGTAATTAAGGAAAATACTGTCTACACGGCCGGGGGAAAAGATCTGGGTTAAATAAAAAAGACCTTTTGTGGAACGTATTGTTGCAATCTCGCAGCTGAAGTGGCATCACTCCAGATACGGTTTTATCTGACGCTATTTTCTATTCTCTATTATCTATCGACTGCGCTGAGTGAGAAGAGATAAGGACTTATAAATGAGATCTTATTGAGATTTTTTTATATGCCCGTGCTATATATCCATTTTAGTGCGTTGAACCGCGTTATCATTTTTGCCTGATAAAAATACTTGTCCGTTATTTTAATTGTGATGATAATCTCGAGATTGTATTTCTGTACCATTGCATTTCACGTAGAACATTGCGTACGGCTTCAATTGACGTGACTTCCAGAGATCTTGATTAATTTCAATTAATCCTCAAGTCGACAATGATTACTTAGTTTTTGAAAAGAAAAACCCCCTTCAACTTTGTACAATCTATATGAATATTACCAGCCAGTGTGGAAAATGATATTCGCGTATAGAGTGATATTGTGAAATCAATAACATATCTCGATTGTTGTATTGTATCGAGCAAACATTTCAATTGGATAATCGGCCAGTCACGACAGCGCGAATATCGGTGTGCGTTGCGCGAGAAATGTTTGAAAATCAAAGTGAAAGTCAAGTTAAAGCGCGTCGCACGTATAATTGTGGAACTTTGAGCACTTTCGAACGTTCCCAAAGTTCATCTGCCACTTGCATAAGTGACTGTCGCAACGCGGCTGCCTTCCGTTTTCTAGGCAAACGACGCATTGTTCGAGGGCCCCATTGAAACGAACGACGATGCCCGCGGCGACATTCCGTCGCCGCCGCCGCCGGTCTGTTCGACACGCTATCTCGCCGGCGCGATGACGTCGCGAAATAGTCGGTTATCATCCGCGCCGCCATTTCAAGCATCAAATTACTCGCACGAGAACGCTCGGTTCACCCGATAACGGCGTCCATCACTTGCGGTGTCGCGCGCGCGCGAACGACTGCGACTTCGGAGCTGCTGTACCTAACCGAGGCCCTTCCTTTCTGATTACAGAATGCCGGCTCGAACAAGGCGAAGGAACCTCCGTCATCCCCGACGACGAGCACCACGAATGGTGGCACCGCCGGCGGCAACAACGTCGGCAACGGACACGCGCCTCTGAAACGCAGCTACACCTCCCTGATGACCACATTAATCGAACAACATCGAAAACTGGACCGCAGCGTCAGCGAGCCGACGTCGCGCTACAAGACGGAGCTCTGCCGGCCATACGAGGAGAGCGGCTCGTGCAAGTACGGCGATAAATGCCAGTTCGCGCACGGTTTTACCGAGTTGCGCAACCTGGCGCGCCATCCCAAGTACAAGACCGAGCTGTGCCGCACCTTCCACACGATCGGCTTCTGCCCGTACGGCCCGCGCTGCCACTTCATCCACAACTTCGAGGAAGCGCGTATACACAACCAGAGGGTGAGCGCCCAGCTCGGCTCATTGCAGCCCAACCTAGTGAGCTTGAATCCGTTGATGAACGCGGCAGCGGCCGCCGCTGCGGTGGCATCCGCGACCGGCAACGGTACCGCCGTGACCAACAGCGCCACTGCCAATAATGTTAGCGTCAACGTCAGCCTGCTCGAGCAGCTCGCGGCGTCGTCGCACGTGGCTGCGGCCGCCGCGGCCGCAGCCACCACGTCGAGCCTCATGCGAACCAACTCGCTAAGTCTGGGCAGCAGCACCGCTACCAGCGCGAACGGCTTCAATCAGCCGCCGTTGCTGCGAACATCGTCGCTGAGCCTGGCCACGAGTCATCATCACGCGGTCCATCATCATCATCAGGTGAACGTCGTCAACTCGGTGATCGGGGCGACGAAGCCAAAACCGCTCAATCTTAGTCCGACGTTCTCGCTCGGCAGTTCTGCTGATTCGGTCTCGCCATCGTCTAGCCTCAGTCAGTCGCCGACGAACTCCATGGCGAGCTTCTTCAGCGACGACTGCAGCCAGCAAGCGGTCTCGTGCACGAATCTGCAGACGACGCCGTTCAGTTTCGGCCAGGACTTCAGTCTGCTCGCCTGCTCGAGACAGAGCCCGAGCCCGCGTAACAACGGCGTGTGCAGTCCGCTCGCCTCCGACGAGGTAACACCCAGAACCCCCTCCCCGCTGTCACCTAACACCGAGTCCAGGCTGCCGGTCTTTAACAGGATCAGCAGCACCCTGGACAGTTTCGACAACCTCAAGATCTAGAGCGGTCGCCGGCGCGAACCGTGAAGAAGAGAGACGCGAATTCTCGGCGAGTTTCGCGCTCGGGGATAGAAAAGAATGGAAGCTTTCATGTGGATCGACTTGAGTCTTGGGGGCGGTAGCTTCTCCACGGCGGAATTCACGTCTTTTTTTCGTTTCTTACGCGCGCGCGCGCGTAGAGCGGTACCGCCGCTCGCCGTGATGCGGTTTACCCTTGTCCGTCATGGACCGTTTTCCTCAAAAGAAAAAAAAACATTTTAGGCACACGTCAGGTTTCATTACCCTTGATCTAGCATACCTTCCTCTTTTTTTATATATTATTATAACTATAATCTTCATATAATATCATCGTACTATTGTAATATATTACTATATTACTACATATATTATATTATCATATAATTATTGCTGCATATTTATCATCTTGTATTCTTTCTTTTTCTTCTTTCTCATATTCTATCGTTAGACGCGAGTGACTTTTTAGCAGAAAAGTAAGATTAACCCGGAAGTCTCAGTACGCTCGTTCAAGCCCGAAAATGAAAATGGTTGGAGGACGGTACGGGGGAGAGAGAGAGAGAGGAGGGAGAGGGATCCGTGGACGGATCGGTGGGTGACAGAGGATACCAAGCGTAAATTTATTCCGAAACGTGACTTTCCTCCGAGCAAGTTGTTCATTGATCTCACTTGGTGGATTCTCATTACACCTTCCGGTCCTCGCGAATCCGCTGTCCGCGTCCGCCGCCTCCTCCCGTTGGATTGTCGAGCTACGGATACAGGCGCCACTAGATCCGGGGCAGGTAAAATGTTGCAATATCCATATACGATTACGTTTTGTCGAGTTTCTTCTCCGGAGGTGGAAGGGTGGGGAAAGTTGTCTCGAGAGTGAAAGGCATGGCGAGAATAAGCGAGCGAGCGAAAGAACGAGACAGACAGAGCGAATGGAAGAGGGAGTTTGTGACAGAGTGAATGAGTAATTGCGAGAGAGAGAGATAGAGAGATATGTGTGTGTTCGTATGTGTGTACGAGATGCCAATTAACACACTGCAAATAGCGTCGTTTGCCGCAAAAAAATGTTATAAAATTACATTGCCTAATCGGGCACGGTTTATCGTGACTTTTATCGCAGTCGTTCTCGTTGCTCCCGAAATGTGGAAATATTTAGCAAGCGGGCGACACCGATCGCCGGATCGGTGAATTCATGACAATATGTTTCCAGTTCCACTTGTTTTATGTTCGCATTACGCGAGAACGTCTCGGCACGGTTGCTGTATTATTAAACATCAAACGCGCGTGCGATTAAGCGCGATTCTGTTTTAAAGCGAGCACCGTATCCTTGCTAGAACAAAAGGTTTTGTTCCTGATGATTTTCATAAACGGACTGTAAAGCAGAGACTGTAGAATAATTTTAGGATCTTCTTCTTTCTTTCCTTTTATTTTATCAGCCGTGTAAGAGAAGAAAAATCCAACTAACAGCTAGCAAGTAGTTAGATTTTTTTTCTCTTTAGTAAACACACGAAAAGTTCACATAACGACGCCGTTTCCAGTGTGATAGTGATTGTGTCCGAACGCGCTAGTGAGTGCCTTTTGTAAACTTCAATTGTCTTCCATATTACAATGACTAGGCTACACGGTACGAAAGATGGGAGAGAATGATGATACTGGGAGAAAGAGAGAGAGTATGTGAGTGAGTGGGTGAGAAAGAGAAAGTTGATAAGAGTGTGTTGTGTTTGAATAAAATAAGTGTATGAAAAAAATTGTGTATGAAAAAATAAGTAGAGATATATTTTTGTGTATATATTTTATAAGATATATACATGATACACATGAAAGTTCACACACATATATATATATATATATACACACACACATATACATACACACACCGAGAAAGAAAAAGATACATTTCGCGTGATCTAATTGTTCGGAACGATCATGTCGGTTCCCGAAACTGGCGTTCCCCTCTTCTTCTCGGAAGAAAACGCTTCTTTCTCGTCGCGAGGCTTGTTGACTTCTGCCTTTCATTTTTTACATACACATGTATATGTTACATATTTAACGATATACTATGTTGCACCCATAATCGCGACGAGGAGAGAGAGAGAGACTCGCTTCGGCGCGAACGACAGAGCTATATGGTGATGCCGATTTATCTCGTATGTATTGCCCCTTCCCGACAAAAAAATGTGATAACTGTAATACTACGTTTAAAAAATAACTATTTCATATAGAAGTATCTACTATTATAAAAATATATGCTGTAATAGTAAAAATGCAAAGAAGGAAAATGTGAGAGAGAAGAATGAGCGAGAAACGATTAAATGGATGAATGAACGAATGAGAGAAAGAGAAAGAAAACAGCGTGAGAGGCGGAAGTCGGAACACTCGCGCGGGCCGTGTGATTTCTCGGAGGGACATTTTTGACATTTGTGACATTTTCGTTCGAGATACAGGCCTAAAATCGCGGAAGTCCGTCGCCCGCGAATCTCGACGGGAAAACGCCGAGCCCGCGTAGCTTCGACGTGAATTAATAATTACAAAACAAATATACACAAGCGCCTACAAACTCTGACGTGGTTTTCGAAAATCGATATCATTCTGTATATAAGCGCTGAACTCTTTCTTATGCTTTCACAAGAAATGTTTTCGTTAATTTATACTTGGATGCAACTTTGTTATTATAGATTTACTTTATTATTATATTATTATTATTAATATAATTCTTTTTATTATTATTAATTATTAACTAATTATTATAATTGCTCTATTATATTATTATTATTCATAGATAATTACTTCATAATCCTCTTGCCCCTAGCAACGAACTACGTAGAGGTAGCTTCTGTTCATTGCCTCTTTTATTTTCATCTCTTCTCTTTTCTCTTCTCCAAAAAAAGTAAACGCGAGTGCTTTCTATCCCGCTGCAAAACGCACCAGCCGATCGTCATCGACACGCGAGCGCGGTATCGACGACGTTCTTAATGTATTGCTTTCATTTTGTCACATTATTATTATTATATTCATCATTATTATTTTTATCGGTATGCCTGATCTATGTAGGTATATCTATTCTATTTAGGAGCAATCATTTCCCTCTTATCAGTCGACCCCTATATTTCGTATCGCCGTCGTCGCGGAACCTAAAAAGCTCGTACTCTATTTATAATTAATTGTATATAGTTCGCACTATATGTAGAACTTCCAAATTATTAGCGATACATGCGTTTTGCGACGATTCGTGTTATTGACACTTTAACCGATAGTGATGGGTATTTTGGACTTTCATTCTGATTTTCAAGCCGACGCCCATTATCTTCCACTGCCGCTCGCGGTTTTGATCGCGCGAAATTAAGGTATACTCTGCCTCAGGAACCAATTGTATCGCAAAACAATATGATGGATACTTTTCTAATTATGTTATTGGAATCGTAATTTTTCTGAGTACCACCGAGATTTTCGTTGCAATTTTCTTCTGTTTCAAATGATTTTATTTGTAATTAATGTTAAGTTTATTTTTAAAACATGCATTTTATTATTTAAAAAAATTTTACGAGGACTTTAATATCAACCTTCGAAGGAGGCGCGACCTTATCGCGCTACCATGGCCGTTTCACAAGCAAGACGTTCACGCGTTTAAATTGCGCACGGCAATGTCGAGACACGAGCGGCAATAGAAGGATAGGTGCGACAATGCGAAAATCACAACCAAATTTCACTATTGCTTTACTGGAACTAAACGGAAACATTCTGTGATTGATGGTGTTGTGGGTTACAGTTGCACATTTTCTCTCGTTCGAATACGAAAAAAATACAGGAAGTATATGGAATTCAATTTATTAAAAGTATTTTTATGCAGAGCGCGTGCAAATGTCTTTATTTAGACACAGGCGCAACTCTGCTAAACATTTATTTTTAACCATTTATCATATTTATAATAATAAAATCAACTTAAGAAAGATGGAAAAAATAAGGAAAGAAACAAATTTAGCTTCATAGTCTGAACCGAAACGATTACATTAATTGCACAGCAAGTTTCTTTACTCGGGGGAAAATGCAATTAAAAACACTACTAAAATAACACCTTCAATCCTCACCAGTTGTGCCAGTCGTGCAATTAGAAATCGGGGACGGAAATAGAGAGAGAGAGAGAGAGAGAGAAAGAGAGAGAGTGAGACGAGGACAGACTGAGACAGACGCGGAGAGTGAAAGTCTCTCCTTACGCAGAGACGAGTTACTAGACGCTCAGGCCTCGTAAAATGACCGGAGGGATCGGAGAAAAGTGCAGAGTAACTTTTTGTCAGTTAGTCTTTTAGACAAATTTACGAATATTCGACGTTGTCCGTCGCGAGACGTGTACGTTTCGCGATCGACATTGTTGCCGGGCGCACACAGGAGCGACGACGGCGTTCTGATCAAAGCACAGCGGCTGGACGCATCAGTTAGAGTCGCGAAATGCATCTTGAGACGCAAACCCCCCCACGTTCGATTCTAGTTGCCGAACGAAAAACTCGCTCATCTCTCGAATCTTTTTTCACTTGCCTTTCAGATGTTAGCTGGATCTGCAAGATGCTTTTGTTTTTACAGAATTGAATGCATGCAAATATTTTGTTTCTTCGTTTTCGCAGAACCGCCAAAAACAGAAACATTTTTGTTTGAGACAGGATTACCGAACATTTTACGTTTTTCTCTAATGAGATTTATTTTCAATGTTTTGTTTTATATTTAAATTATTACAGGTTAAATGTATTATTTTCAAATTCACATTATTTCCCGAGTTCGGTGTCTCTTATCCTTCATGTGCTTGGCTTGTGAAATAAGATTGTCGCTTAACGCGCGGAAGATAGAGCCAAATTTTCAGCTTATTTTCGTTTGGAAAAAAAGTCGTCTCCTTACAGATTGCATAAATTTTTATTTATCTTAGGTTTACAGAATATTACGACGGTTGATTTATTGATAATTCAAATTTTGTTTTAATCAAATCAATTAAACGCGAAACGTATACTCAACTTGCGCGAATTTTTGTTAAGTGAGTCGACGTATTAGCCCCTTGGTTGCTGGATATACATTCACATTCAACTTGGAATCAAAGAGTTCCACAATAAAAGCGAATACATGATGTTAGCAATAAATAGTCAGTTGCCGTTTTTCTCGTAATGGATTTGTGAGAGCATTATTTTAGTTTAGCTACTAGAGAAATAAACTTGCACAGTCGTATCTGTGCATTTCCATTTCGTTTATTGCGTTAATAAATATTGTAAAAGCCGTTTCGTGTATCGCAACTGAAGGGCTAATTACGCTCGAGCTCAGACGCATCGGACTCTACATTGCATCCAGTCAGCCTCGCGTTTATTCTCCTATAGACTTGACCTG